TACTCTTTTTTTGTAACATTTCTCTCTGTAACATAATCCATTTCTAGAAACTTTCATACAAACTTTTTTTAACAATGCACGCGTCATTTGTTCCTCGTGGACCAATTATTGCTTACAAAAGGTTCCTCATGGACCAACTATTGCTTACAGTTATGTTATGACAAAGGACTACACATGCACCCACTCCGACAACAAGCAACAAATACCTTTCGTACATCCCTACACCCCATAAACCACCCCACATGTGCGGAAACGTACGTTGCCTCGCTCCAAACATTACTCTTTTTAGGTAACATTTGTCTCGGTAACAAATCCATTTCTAGAAAATTCCATAGAAACTTTTCTTTAGCAATGTAGGGTCAAACCCTTCGCACACCCCATCAGAGAAAATAACTAAAAGGAACCTAATATAGACACAAAAAAGGTGCCTTATTGACCGATTATTTATTGCTTGTAGTTATGTTACGTCAGAGGACCACACATACACCTGCGCTGACAACAAGAGACAAATATCTTCCCTACTTCCCTACACACCGTAACCAGCCACCTGCATGTGAGTAAACGTATGTATCCTCGCTCCAGACATTACTCTTTTTTGGTAACATTTCTCTACATACCATAAACCATTTTTCTCTTTCACTAATTTTTCCAGGTAGTGTTTCTCAGAAACTTTTCATGGAACATTTTAATGAAAACATATCCAATAATGAGTTTTCCAGACAACTTTTCTATTAAACTCATTGATGTGTACCTGTACCACAGGTACCCTCATCAACATGGCATGACCACTAAAGATCGCTAAGCACCTACCTGACTTCGATCAATTAGCCATAGGCTCGGAGGCTACACCCACTAGGTTCGCTCTCGGTAGACTCGACCATAGTGAGGTTAGGGGACCCACATTTGACATCTAGGAAGGCCCTCCAACCCGTGTGGACTGAGATCTCCCTCTCTAGGATGCACGCCGCATCAAGCAACCACAAGAACCAGGTTCCAAAGTCAGCTAGGGCGGGTTTTGCAATGTTGTCAAAATGCATAGTATATATACTTCTCCATTGTGGTCCTCTCATTGAAGCGATTGAAGAACACAGAACATCTAATTTGGAGTCTAGATAAGAAAATTATGACTTGGAAAGATTCACCCAGCAAAAACCGGCTAGGACGGTTTCGAAACTAGTTAGGCCGGTTTTCGTGGACAAATCAAAGTTTGAAGTTGCACTTTAACATGGTTTGTAATAGGTTTCGGCCTCCCATGGGATAAGACCACCCCTACTTGTAAATACAAGGGAATCCATGCCGAATGAGGTATCCAATCGAACCAAACACAAACCAATATACTCTTTACCTCTTTTGCCCTAATTTTTTTCCAACCCCATGTTGTTGCTCTTCTCTTGATCCAACAACCAAGACTTGCTGGTCAACCTAGGGCAACCCGCCCAACGTCCTCGCTTTGACTACCTCCTAGGAGAGAGCTTCGACGATTCCTTTGCTAGTTTGCGCAAAAAGTAGTTGTTCTTCAACACATAAGCGCGATAATCATCCTTTGCCAGTTTGCTTGTAAATTTAGTCGTCGCTCTTCATCACAAAAGCATAATAGTCACCCTCCCGGACAAAATCTAGGAAGCTTGGCTAGGTCATGTTGCAAAGTACCTAGTGTTCTAACCCGTTGTGGGACCAATCTTTGCATCAACAAACCTTAACTGAGTCAAACCTAGAATTTTAAGAATGTACTCAAGTTTTCAAAAAACGACTGCTTCACCGCCGTTTTTTGACATGTATAATTGATTATACTGTTGATTAGCAAAAGAAAATAGGTATTGAATGAATACTCCTAGCCCCACCCGACCTTAATATATGTTTCCTGCAATATTAGATTCTAGGGTAAGGTCTTGGAAGAATTAATTTATTGTTTTAACATCACAGAGCATAAAACCTTCTACATATTTTAAAGGTTCATGTATCATTTAGGTATGCAGCCTATTCGCTTGTTGGTTTCAGCCAGGGCTTATCAGCCATGGTACAGTATTTTCCTCTCACAACAAATCAGCATCAGCCGAGCTTATCAGCCCAGAAACCAACGAGCGAACAGGCTGATGGATTTATGTGTGGAAACTTTATCATCAATGAGTATGAAGTCAGTAAATATCTGTAGATTCCTTAGATTAGTTTGTAATACTTGTTACAGTGCAATATTCACTACGACTTGGTTAATAGAGCACTACTAGTAGGTATATTTTTAATGTGTTAAGCCTACTTTTTTCCTCGACTCTGAATTATTTTTGCTTTTAGAAAAATGCTATGAATGCTCAACCTGAACTATGTGTATTTTCTATTTGAGCTGAGAAATCTGATTATTATTTTTGCTTTTTAAATAATTTAGTTTTAGCCTAGTAGAATCTATTTCAGTATAAGTTCTGATTGTGTTTAGTATTTCAGTCATTTTGTTTTAAGTATCTTGGCATTTTTTCCTCTAATGTTCGGTGCAGCAGCATTTTTGATAGTAGACATTGCCCAGTTGCATGTTATTTTCATCGATTTGTACAAGGAGAAGGGGCTCCAGCTCACTTTTTTTTTTTGCATTAAAGCAGTTTTAGGAGCACGCAAATCTTGTGGTATGTAGACATCCTTTTATGATCTAGAGAAGAAATTTCAGCTTATCTAATACTCAATCCATCCCAAATTGTAAGACGTTTGACTTTTTTGACACTAAGTTTGACCACTCGTCTTATTCAAAAATTTGTTTAAAATATCACTTCTTTCGTCGTGGTTTGGTTTATTAATAAAAATTCTTCAAGAATGACTTAAATTTGACTATATTTGCACAATTTTTTTGAATAAGACGAGTAGTCAAACTTGAGGCCCGAAAAGTCAAACGTCTTACAATTTGGGATGGAGGGAGTACATATTTTTATCTTTTTAGTAACTAGATGAGTGCCCATGCGTTGCAACGGGTGCAACATAAATTGAATGAGATATTTATTAGCCAAGTCAAAATCAAGAATATATCAATTTAATTTTTCACGTGTATTATACCATGATAATGTCTAGAAACACATTCATTATCGTAATGAATCTGAAATAAAAGCTAGGCTTGGAGTACCAGCTGCCTCAAAGGCTGAAAATTTATTGCTAGGCATTGAATTGAATTTATCCATGCTCTGCCTTGCCAAAACATAAATACTCGGACTTACAATATCCTAGCCCGCACGAGGCATGGCAATAATTTATTTTTTGAGAAAAAGTATTTGTTATCAACACGCAACGCGAAGGACGACGAACGAGATTTGAATCACGACCATGATCATTGCGTGGTGATATTTCAATAAATTCCTTTCTTTTCTCATAATTCTCTTTCCGTTTTATTCTATTTTATTTACTTGCCTTCCAGTGTCTCTATGCAGTGATTATTTGTCTGTCGGTGATTCCGTAAGTTTTATTCTATTTTATTTACTTGCCTTCCGGTGTCTCCATACGGTGATTATTTGCCTACTGGATATGGATCGCATGAGATGCGGTGATTATTTGCTTGCCGGATATGAATCGCATGAGTGTTTTGGTCCTGTCGGGTAGATGTTGACAATCCGTATGTTTTAGTTGTAGAAGAGATAGAGATTATTCCATTTTATTTACTTGCCTTCCAGTGTCTCCATGCGGTGATTATTTGCCTGCCGGTGATTCCGTGAATTTTATTCTATTTTATTTACTTGCCTTCCAGTGTCTCCATGCGGTGATTATTTGTCTGCCAGATATGGATCGCATAAGATGCGGTGATTATTTACCTGTCGGATATGGATCGCATGAGTGTTTTGGTCCTGCCAGATAGATGTTGATAATCCGTATGTTTTAGTTGTAGAGATAGAGATTTGTAACAAAATTAGATGCAGATCTATGCAGAAAAACAAATTTGAGATGAAGGTGCTTTGGGGTGGACTGGTTTGATTGTTTATCTGTGTTGCATCTTATTCTTTTGCTTCTGATCTGGGTGTTAATTTCAAGTTTGGTCTTGCTGTTGCTTTGGTCCTCATCGTCTCTGTCTCCTACGCCGCCACGGCCGCGGCCACGTTGCCGCGTTTTTTGTTTTTTTAAGGCGTCAGGTATTTTCTTTCTTCTCCGTCAAGCATTCTTTATCTTTGTTGTCTTTTGGCTGAGGTTTTGCCACGTCATTTTTCAGGAAGCGGAAGATAAGTACCATAAAAATCTTCCAGGCATGTGACGTACAGGTGTTTTTTTTATGTTTTTGCTTTGTTGTACCATGTGACGTGTCAAATTATGATTTGTTGAAAAAGTGGAAGATAACAAACAGCAAAATCCTCCACAAGATGTGTAGTCAGTCCCTATGTATTTGTCGTGACAAATCTATGACGTCTGTTTAATCAATAGTTCAAATAAATTATTAACATATGCCGTCACATTTTAGTAATGGCCAAAACCAAAGAAACAACGAGATATTACCATATTCTATTAACACCACTTCTTGTATAATGAAAGACCTCAATAATCTTCCATCCCTTCGACCACATGAACCAGTACATCCTAAAATTAGACCCAAAAACACCATCAAAAGTACACAAGTCATGAGTTAAAACAAGTTTGCACAACCAACACTTAATCAACTCAAGGTTAAACAACTATTGCTCATTAGGCAACGAAAACAAAGAAAATAATTAAAAGAACATGAAACAGACGCCAAAAGTACACAAGTCATGAGTTGTGTGCGCAGCGCATCAGCATGCATGGGTGGGCGGGAGTACGGGAGTGGGTGCAAGGCGAGCAAGTCGTGCGGCTGCTGCAACAACGTGCGTGAACAGGTGCAAACGGCGCGCGGCCGCGACGATGGCGCCCGTAGCGGCGGCACAGCAAGCAGGGTGCGGTGATGGTGTCTCCAGCAGCGTGGCGAGCGGACCGCACGACAACGGCGACGGCGTGCGCGGACGAGCGCACCACGGGTGCTGGCTCGATTGTGAACTGGCTCGGCCCAGCACCGGCGGCGAGCGGACGCCATGGCGAACCCAGCGCAGGCAGCAAGGCAGGTCCCATCGTGGCCCCACAAAAAGAAGCTAAGAAACGGCACCTCCCGCCTCCGGGCTCACAGTTCTCCGGTCGCTCTCCCTCAGCCACGTCCGGGACCACCGCGCCTTCGCGCCCAACGCCGTCGTGCTCCGGACTGCGTCGGCGAGGTCGGCAGAGCTCGACCGGGAGGTCGCCGGCCTGCAGAAGCGGCTGACCAGGATGACGCATCTCACACCGCTGCTGTTCGCCACTGGGGACGCCGCTGCTGAACAGCAGAGGTTGCGCGCGCTCGACGCCCACGCTCCCACTATCTGTACTGAGCAAATGAAATTTGGGCGGCGGTGAGCACTGAGCACTAGCATGGAGGGCAGGAGCGGTGCCGGTAAGCACAAGCATGGATGGGCAGATGGCGATGCTGGTGGCGCTAGAGGCCGGAGAAAGAGACGGGGTACCGCAATTAACTTACAGGATATTTTACACGATGCGAACAGGAATGTCGACCGATTTAGTTCCTTTCAGAATTTACTATGACAACAGTGAAATTAGATATGGAGACAGCAGGGTAAACCTTAGCGAGTTCCAGTTGTTTGACACAGAACTGAATTCAACGATTACCTTCCTAATTTCCTATTTACTATGTACCTAACATGCTCTATCTAACCTAGCCTTTTTGTATAGGTACACGTGCTTCTTGCAGTGACTACACGGAGGGTACTAGCAGCTTTGGGACCTTTCACACGGACGACACTCCTCCTTGTTCCCTGAGGAGGCCGGGCCCTCACAGCTTTCTGGTGCACCTCTACCGATTCAGGGTACTGAGCATATGGACTCGACCCCACCGGTACGACAGCGATGCCCTCCATACCAGTGGACTTACCCTACGGCCTAGGTTCGCCACCGAGGTGCTCAGGCACCTAGCGTGGTCGTCGTGTAGGTTAAGCGTGTAGGATTGTATGGTTGTATGCTAGCATGGATGTACGGATGCGAACTAATGTACTCTTCGATTTGTGATGCGAACTAATGAACTAATGTACGCACTTTTGCAATTGAGGCAACGCTCCAATACAGTCCCTCGCCTACATCGAGGCAAAGGACAATAAAACGTAAAAGGACATTGTTTAGCATTTGCTGCGAGTATTTTATCCTTTTTTTTAGAGTAACAAGGGCATTTGTGATGCGAACTAATCGTGTTTTTAGTGTTGGTCAAAAAGTGGTAAAGTTAGTTTTCTATCCGGAGATGGTTGTGTTCGTGAAAATGTACCACATCGGGTGATGGTTGTGTCTAGAAAATAAGGAATACAGCATGAAATAGTGTTGTCGGCTGCGTGGGGCCCGATAGTCCTATCGGCAACTGGGTTGCCGACTTCCCCGTCGATGATCCAAATGTTTGGTGACCCGTCAGACCATCCAAAGGTCGACTAGCCCTGTCAGCCCTCCAGCTGCCGACAGGATCCCTGTCGGTGCCGACTGGCTATTTTGGTGGGCGTCGGCTGCCACGTGTGAACCACGTAGGCCTATGGCTAGTGAGCTGTCGACAGGCGTCCAATCAGCCGTTGAGCGGCCGATAGACTGCTATATGTCAAATTTTTGTATAACAGCTTCTACATTTGCAATTAATCATTAAAAATATTATTTTAAAAATTCCGCTGTATATAGAGGCAGCGCATGTAACCGAAAGGGGTATGAAATAAATAGTTCTGAACTCTGAAACTATCTGTATCTTGCCTGTTCTTGTCTGAACTTCTCTGTTCTTGATATTCTACTCTCTGAATTCCGATTCTACCTGCTCCAGCATTCCGTCAGGATCTTAGACCCGGGTCCTGACAGGCAGACGTGGAATTAATCGAGAAGCGGGTGGATAGTCGAACCGCAGCAGGCCATCTCTCGCAGCAAACGTATCTTGTTAGCATAAAAAAGTGTCATTTCAGCTGCTTTCATCATACATTTTGCGGCATCGTCATAAATCTGTATTATCAAATCAGCATCAGTAAGCATCATAAATCCCGCGTAAACGAACTGAGACAGCACTCTGTGCCAAAGCAGAGGCGCTTAAATTGCCACGTGTTCAACGACCTGGCAGGTTTTGTCGTACCGGCAACAGAAACAGAGACATGCATTGACAGCGCCATCTAACCTGCTGGCTGCCTTCAGTCCACACAACAAGTCAACAACAATCATTATCGAAGACCACTGCTTCAGCTTCATTATTGCACAGATTCATTCTCCTCTGCCCTGCTCTTCCGATACTACAACTGTAGCGAGATTAGTCTGAAAGAAGAGATCCATGGCGATGGAGGAGGGTGCCATGGCGAAGGCAAAGCTGGTAGCGGCGGTGCTGGTGCTGGAGATGCTCATAGCGGGCTTCCACGTCGTGTCTAGGGCGGCGCTCGACATGGGCGTCAGCAAGATGGCGTTCGTCGTCTACAGGAATGGCTCTGCCCTGCTTGTGATTGCTCCTGTTGCCTACTTCCTCGAAAAGTGAGTATATGTAAACTTACTCTACACAGGTTATTGGTGATCTCCTAGTGCTCTAGAGAGTTACCACTAGAGAAGTTCATTTCAAAAGTGCTACTGAAATTTTGACTTTGTTGTTTTTGGACTCCCAGAACCCAAATTTTAGGAGCATGCATGCTACTCCTTTTTAGGAGTATTTTGGTATTCTTAGGTGTTTAACACTCGAATATAAGTTTTGCAAAATTTTGGGTATTATTATCTCAGTCCAAAAAAAAAACTTACCTCTTTACAGGAAAGATAGGCCACCCCTCACGTTACGTTTGACGATTGACTTCTTCATGTTGGCTGCAGTTGGGTAAGGTGTACAATAATTGTATTCATATTGATCATTTTGAGATAATTGTGTACAAGTTAGAGAGTTTTTAACTACTCCTATAATCCGTGCAGGGTTACATTCACACAGGGGCTTTATATTATTGGTTTGTACTACTTGTCACCAACTTATGTCTCTGTCATCCAAAACTCTGTCCCTGCAATCACATTTGTGATGGCTGCTGTTTTGAGGTAAATAGCAAATGTGATGTTTTATTTATTATGTAATTTGTGTTTACAATTAATGAAAAATACGTTATCTAAAGCAAACTTTGATGGCCATGGAATTAAAACCAGCAATTGTATATAGAATTTCCATGGTGTTGGGCCAAGGAGGCATAACAGTTGATGAACTAAAAACAAATACTTAGTAATGGTATGAAGATCCATATGTATTTTCTTATAGTCTACTCCCTCTGTCCCTAAATACCTGTCGTTTTTGCTTCCATAGAAACAACTTTGACTAAATATATATTAAAAAATATTAATATTATGGTACATAATTAGTATTATTGGAAAGATCTTTGAATCTAGTTTTTTCAATAAATTTGTTTGGAGATGCAAATGTTGCACGTATTTTCTACAAATCGAGTCAAACTTGCGGCACGCACACCAACGGCGACAGTTATTTAGGGATGGAGGGAGTATGAACCAAATCTACTTGTTGCCTGAACTAGCTAGATCTGAAATCCCAAATCAGCGAAATTTGACCAGCTTAGCTATGTTTTTCCAGACGTTCTCTAATAATGTACCTTTCTATGCAACTAATATTAGAATGATCATACTTGTTATGGTCGCTATTATTGGAGATGATGATGATTAGAGTCTACCAAATTAAAATCTAGATGTTTCGAATTATTGTGTGAATTTTTAGAACTTATCTTTTTTTCTAGAGCATCTCATGAAAATTAATGTAGACGCTCCGTCGGAGGCCTCAAGTTAGTAACATTAAGATTTGTTGTCTTCCTACCCAGAATTGAACAGGTAAATATTAAAAGCAGACATGGGCTGGCAAAAATAGCAGGCACGGTGATTACCATAGCAGGGGCAACCATCATAACCATCTACAAAGGGATGCCATTAACGACAACACATTCAGAGGGTACCCACAAACTGAAAGACATTCAAGTTATCCTGAGTCCAAGATTTACCTGGATCGCTGGATGTCTCGTCATGTTTGTGAATTGTCTTTGTTTGTCTGGATGGATGGTTCTGCAGGTTTGTTACTACTATTTCGCCTTCTAATTAACTTCTTTTAGTGTTTGCCTATGTATTGGCATATTCATTTGTATTTTATGCCGTTTACACTATCATTTCTACCAAATAATACAGACATCTAACGAATGAGACTGGGTAACTGAAAACTTAACACAAAGGAAAACTGTTAGCAATGTACTATAGACATTTCCCCACTATTACATAGAGATGAAAAAATGTTGTTTCTAGTAATTTACATAAATGTAAGTGTCAATTTTAAATTGAGGTCCACGGCATGATTCCTGGCTTTTGTTATATGGGACGTGCTTGAATTTTTGTTGTTTTTGTACAATTTTTTCCTCCAAAATCTGTTTCAAATTTCAAGTTCTCAACAACAAATTTCTAGCCTACATAATTTGTATTCAGGATTCTTGTAACTTATTAACTTTTAACAGGTCCCAGTTTTGAAGAAATACCCAGCTAAGTTGTCATCTTTCACTATCACTTTGGCATTGGGGTTTATCCAACTCGTCGTTGTAGCACCATTTTTGAGAGCAACATTGAAAGGTGGAAGATCCACTCTGGAGGCGAGCTTTTGACCATCTTATATGCTGTAATTATCTTTTCTAATAAGTTGATTATGATGTGCATTTCTAATTATATCTTATTCAAGATCTTGTTAAGATCTTATTATCTAAATCAAAGTCATATCTTGTCGCTTTGTGCCAATACTTTTTAAAAGTGAAGTCTATATTGGTATTTAGCTTAAGGGCTCTGGTCAACAAATTTTATACATTGAGTTTATAAAAGTAAACAAGAACTGGAGAGGGCTTTATGAAGATTTTGTCATGCTAGCTTTATTGGAAATATGTTTCTGAAATTGGACTTATGTTTATTGGGCTAAGAACATAAATTAGCTTTAATATAGTTGTTTATTTATGTTGTTGATATCTCAATCGACAACATGGAATTTCGGAAAGGCAAACATGGAAAGAAGCTTAGATATAGGATATATATATATATATATATATATATATATATATATCTGTGTGTGTGTGTGTGTGTGTGTTTCTTGGGGATAATGAAGACCTTATATTTGCGAGTGAATGTACAATGATGTCTTGATTATACTAATGAATGTAGGGTATTGTGGTACTTGGTATTGCCTGGTATATTATGATTTGGTGCATAAATAAGGGAGGCCTCACTTCGTTTCTGTCTTCCAACCATTGCAAACTGTCATGGTTGCCATCATGGCTTCTATTTTCCTTGGTGACAGACTCTACATTGGAGGGTAAGAAATACACACCATCAAAGTTGTGACTTGTGAGTTATGACAATAATATGTGGCATGAAGCAGCAACAACAAATTGGTGTTTACTCACCAAATCTTCTGACAAAAATTATCTGTTTTCCCTAATCATTTACAGAGTTATAGGTGCGGTGGTCATAGTTGCGGGTCTCTATTGTGTATTGTGGGCAAAAAGCAAGGAGACCAAAAGCAACAGTGACCTGCTTTCTGAAAGAAGCTTGGCACAGAATCTCCTTCATGAAGAAAGTTACACTATGATCGAAGATCTATAAGAATTTTTCTGCTACAAACTATGGTTGTATAGTAGGACGTGTATGTTTGTGTTTATAGAGGTAAGTGTACTTGTACGTACGAGTGTTTGTTTCTATACTGTGATTTGAAAATAAAATAGGAATATTCAGTTTTGTTCTTACGAAGTTACTGTAATGTACAGTGGTTAGTGGATACTGTAAGTGGTAAGTGGATAGTACTACGCATCTCTGCAGATAACTGATGGCCCATCTCTGGAGCCTGCAGGAGATAAGCGGGGTCCACGAAAAGCATGCAGCTGCCCACAGAGACACACCGTGACGCTGACGTCCATGGGATATGGGGGTATTGGTGCCTGCTGCCCTGCACTGCACTACTGCAGTGAGAAAACAGGCAGCGCCACCCTGGGTCCCAAAACTGAGACCGTCTCCAACGATAGATAACAAAAACTCAACATCCATTTCACGTTTAGGTAGCGCTATAGTTAAAGAATTCAATATATATTTTTAGTCTTTTTTAACAATAAGATCTAAAAGAGAACCCTTTCTGTAAATGGGTCTTCAGGAGAGAGGATACTTAGATTTAAGTTATACCTTTCTTGACACCTAAAATAGGTCTTTTATATAGATAGTCTGTTGGAGACTATAGATATTATATTAGAGACCATTTTAAGTTTAGGTCTCCTGTTGGAAACAGCCTGAGGGCCCTGAATCCCTGATCGCTTGCTGTTGCTGTCATGAGATAGAGAAAAGCCTCTCCCTTTTATTTACTACAGTACTAGTATATATGTATATATTTCCTGCTTTCCATGAACGCTCGCTCAGCTTGTCATGCCGCTCACGTTTATTCACTTGTTGGCTAGTACGTGGAATCACACGAGGACGAGGTGTGAGGTGATCAGGTCAGGCATGGGAGCAGAGATGGAGCCTTTGTCACTCACCTGATCCCGCCCAACGGCACACATGGGTTTCATTTCGCCCCGAAACCACGTCCGGCCCCCGTGGCCCGCCCGCCGATTCCATCCCCTCCTTCTCCGGCGCCGGTCCCTGCTGCCGCTGTGCCTATAAATTGACAGCCTCCCCTTTCCTTCTTGCAACCCATCCTGTACAGTCTGCTTTCTGTTCCTAACTAGTATTTCGTTCCTTCCGAGCTTCAATTCACGAACAAAAAGATCAGCATGTGGTCGACGGTGAGCCATGCGTCCCTCGACCAGAAGCTTGCCCTCGCCAAGCGCTGCTCCCATTCACCCTCCCTCTCGTCGTTATTTTCGGTCCTTCAATTGGTATCGCAGCTGGTTAAGAATCATTCTACCTTAACCGGTCCATGATCTATGAAGGCGACATGGAGCGCGGTTCTGACAAACCACCGCACTTCGATGGAACAAACTACCCTTCCTGAAAGATCCACATGTCTGCGCATCTTCAGGGAATTGATTAGCGAGTTTGGGAGATTTGTGAGGATCCTAACTATGAGGTGCTTGCTGCTCGTGTCGGTCAGGAGCAGATTGACCAACACAATGCAAATAGCAAGGCTCGTAGTGTTCTCTTTTTGAGTCTTTCCCTTTCTGAGTTTGAGAGAGTCTCTGATTATACTACTGCTCGAGAGATCTGGGTGAGGCTTCAGAGCTATCACGAGGGAACCGCACAGGTCAAAACCAGACTCTTTGAGACGCACAAGCGTGAGCATGAGAACTTCTCTCAGTTGGATGGACAGTCTATCAATTCTATGTTTTCTCGTTTCCAGTCGATTGTGAACAAGATGCGGGCAAACAAGCCGTAGCTGCCTTATGATGATCATGAAAGGGCTCTCAAGTTACTATATGCCCTAGATCGGAAGGTTTGGGATGTGAAGGTGTTCGCTATCACTGAGTCCGCTAACTATGACACTCTCACTGTGGATGAGCTTTTCAGCAAGCTCAAGTCCACTGAGATTGATTATCAGACCCAAGCCAAAATCAAGAATCCCTCTGCACCGATTATGGCTTTGGTCTCAGGTAATGGTTCAAGTTCTTCAGCTAACCCTTCACAGACCTCCTTTGCCTTGTCTTCTTTGGTGTATGTTACATAGGAGCAGATGGAGGCACTTGGGGATGATGAGCTGGCACTGGTCATCAACCGGTTCTCACGGTTTCACAACAACCACATGAACCGCCGTCATGGTGGTGGTCCGAAGGAGGGTTCGCTATGGCTGTGGAGATCCCAACCACTTCGTCGCTCACTGCCCCCAAGAAGAACAAGCACTCCTCCGGCAAGTACAACACCAGCAAGCGCAAGGACAAGCACGAGTACTCCTCTGGCAAGCACAAGTCGAAGGGAGGATTCAACAAGGAGGCGCTCAAAGCAAAAGTACCTCAAGAAGGCCAAGGCCTAGCAGCGTGCCTTCCTCACCTCCCTTAGCGACCTCGATAATGACTCCGACGACGACCACTCTTCTTCTCCGTCGAGCGACGATGAGTCCAGCGGAAGTGCGAGGACAAGCTGACCAGACTTTGTTTCTTCACCGACTTTACCCACGGAGGTTTCTGCACCATGGCTATCGATTTCGAGGTGAAGGCTAGCAAGGATTAGGTTCCCATCGACGACAACACTTCTGAGGTAACCCCTTCCGTCGACAATCTTATTGCTGAGCTTGATATCATGAACGACACCTTGATAAGCCAAGATAAGCTGCTAAAGTGTGCTGCTTGTGAGAGGAAAGAATTTAAGGACAAGCTAAAAATTACGCTGAAGGAGCTTGAGGAAGCTAAGAAACACGTTGTAGCAGTTTTTTACGAGGTTGAGTGCGATGACTGCACTATTCACATGTCTAGCCTTGCTTCCTTGCAATCTAAGTATGCTTCTTTGCTTGATGAGAATGATTAGTTGAAGTCTAGGTCTAGCTTGTTGGGTGCATGCAAGTTTTGCTTGGGCTTGCAATCTGAGCTGGCAGAGAAGGTTGCTAGGATCTCTTTGCTTGAGAAGGCCAGTTCAGATAGCACTACGGCTAAGTGTGCATGTTGTGAGAGCTTGGTGCTGGAGCTTGAGTCTTGCAGACATGACAAGATGAGAACCGAGGAAGACAACACATACCTTCGGTCTATCTTTAGCTAGGTGTCTTGCAATGAGCCGTAGTTGGGCATGATGATGAGCCAGTTCAGGTGGGGAACTGGTGTATTGGGTGTAGGCTTTGCTTTAGATGAGAAGAGTGAAAATATCTATGGCAAGGTTGGTGAGTACAGTGGTTTGAACCCAAGTGAGAAACCTTCCACTACTCCCAAGTTGATCAAAATCACTCCACCTAAGTCCACTGAGCCCACTGTCAAAGATGGAGTGTTTGAAGAACCTCCAAAAGCCCCACCTCAGAAACAAGTCCAGGTTCCAAAACCAAACCATCCCAAGAACCCACTTGATACTCTACCAAACATCTCTGAGGATCCCCTTGCTAAAGCTAAATAGCCACCAAGAGTTAACCATACCCACAAGTGAGTGAGCCAACAACCACCCAAGAGAGAGGTGAGGTATCACTGTGACTACTACCATAGGGATGGTCACCTTTGCTGAGTTCTGGTTTAGGAGGAAGAGAGATGAGCGGCGAGAGTACGAGTTAAACAACCGGAACATGTACCGCCCGCCCCATGGCGTACATGTACTGCCTGTTCAGAGACGCAGTGCGAGGCCTAGAGGTGCAATGCCTCAAGGTGCTAGGCCTCAGGTTGTGAGACCACGCGGTGGTCGTGCCCGGTGTGGTTCAGGTCGTGATCAATAAGACTTTGGACCTCATGACAGTGGCTTTCAGTCCTACAGCTCTAGTGGACCACGTTTTTCCCCACGTGGTAAACGCTTCCCTCAAATGGGACATGGTATGTTTGGTGTTTTTCCTAATAATTTTCCAGGGAAAATGAGCGAACACTGGTATCCTTCACAGTTTACTAACCCTAGTGTTGTGCCATTTGCTCACCCCACGTCTTTCTATTGATGCAGGTTGGAGGCCTAGAGAACACATGGCTTGTTGATTCCGGCTATTCACGCCACATGACTGGGAATTCAAAATGGTTCTCCAGCCTTGACCCCATGTAATGCAAGGAGTACATCACATTCGGGGACAATAGCAGAGGTAAGGTGCTTTCTTGTGGGACCATTCGGGTCAATGAGAGTTTTGTTCTGAAGGATGTTGCTTTGGTTTCGAATTTGCATTTCAATCTGCTTTCAGTTTTGCACTCCTTCAGGATGGCTTTGAAGTGCACTTTAAGACCGGCTTGTCTCGAGTTCTTGATTCTCAGGGAAATCTTATTTGCCAGATTATCCCTTTTGGCTGTGTCTTTCGAGCTGACTTTTCTCACTCCTTTGGCTCTTCTCGATGTTAAGTGGCTAGATCCTCCTCTGAGCTTTGGAAGTGGCATAGGAGACTGGGTTACTTGAGATTTGACTTACTAGCTAGGTTGAGCTCACTTGATCTAATCCGAGGATTGCCCAAGTTAAAATTTGAGAAGGATTTGGTCTGCCACTCTTTGTTGCCACGGGAAGATGGTTGCCGCTTCTCACCCACCTGTGAATCAAGTCATGGCCAAGGAACCCGGTGAGCTACTTCACATGGATACAGTTAGTCCATCTCGGGTTCGGTCAGATGGTGGGAAGTGGTATGTTCTAGTGACCGTGGATGACTTTTCTCTCTACTCTTGGATGTTTTTCATGGAGAGTAAGGATGAGGCTTTTTCACATGCTCAGGATTTGATTTTTCGGTTGCAAAATGAGTTCCCTAAGAATGCCATGAGAGCGATTCGCAGTGACAATGGCACAAAATTCAAGAATACTCATTTTAAAACCTTTTGTGCTTCCTTGGGCCTCGAGCATTAGTTTTCCTCTCCTTATGTTCCTCGGCAAAATGGTGTTGTTGAGCGCAAGAATCAGACCCTTGTTGAGATGGCTAGGATGATGCTCGATGAGCATAGGATTCCTAGGAGATATTGAGCCAAAGCGATCAACACCGCGTGCCATGTGTCCAATCGCATTTTCCTTCGAGCTTTCATGAAAAAGACTTCTTATGA